TCTCTTGTTCTTGTTATATATGTATATATATAGTTTCTGCAGCCATGTCTCCCGTCCAGTCCGTTCGTCCAACAGCAACTCAAAGAGATTTGGATCAATCCGATGCAACAATAAGAGGCAATTTGCAATGGGGTTAATTTCATAAATCATGGTAGCACAGGATGTCTCCCTTTTAACTACGGTGGTTAGCACGTATCCGCATCCTCTAGCAGCACTTCTTCTGCTTCTTCGGCGTGCTCCTTACCTCCGTACCACATGTGGTCACGGTCAGGCGGCTTCTAACGGCGTCTTCGGCGAACAGCAATCGGGGCCCCCGTTGTTCAGCGGTTAACAGAGCTGGATTAGCTATGCTCTGTCTCTGCTGCTTCACTCGGTTCAGCTCCTTCTGAATCGCAGGAAAAAGGCAGTCTGATTGGGTCCAGCAAGCGTAGACTTGTCCGGAGGGATTTGGTTGCTACTCAACATAGCCTTCAGCTAGGAGCACTTTTGCCTAGAGCCACCGCAAAATAGGACGCTAATATGAAAAGCTAGGGTTTTTAAAGCCTAAGTCGGAGGGGTGCGTTTTCAGAGCGGCGCAGTTCCGACGACAATGTAGGGCAACATACCTAACTTAGTTTTGAAGATTGTTACACCTGGGACTAAGCCAGGGAGGACTCTCTTCTTTGTGACTCCGGTTCCATGTTAAGAAATCGATAGCCCCGTTGGGCTAGAAAGGTACATTCTTTAGTCTGTTTGAGTTTACTAGAGCTAGAATATAACATAGTGGCAGCGGTCATGAATTTTGACCAGTTCAAGTTTTATACGTTTAGTTTTTAGGTTGTGCGTTTCGCCGTGGTGTGGGGGATACACCTGCTAGTCAGCTAATTAGCACATGGGGTGGATTATTAGCATAATGGAAGGATTGAAACCATCGCAATGTCTTTGCATGGACTCAGGCAATCTTGCAAAGACTTGGAAGGTGTGCAGAGATGAGTTTTCACTTTATGTGGACCTGGCGGTGAGAGATGATGATGAAACCACCAAGGTCAAGCTGTTCGGCTATCTCGTGGGTGAGAGCACAGAGAGCTACTGGACACACTGATCAGTGAGAAGCCTTAAGCAACATGGAAGATTGCTGATATCATTAAGAAATTTGATGAACACTGCATGTCACCGTGAATGAAATGGTTGAAAGTTTCCGGTTCTTTT